CCACACTTGGCCTTCCAGCCTCCTGCAAGGTTTCTAATCCTGACACCAACTGAAAGGTGAAGGGGCAATCTGCAGAGTCTCCATGTCTCTTACCTGTCCCCGAGTACTAAGATATTTCTAGTGCAAACTCGAAATAAGACACAACAAACTTACAAGTAACTTTTCAGTAAGATATAGAAGCTTGTTTAAGCAAATAATTCCTTGATATTCATGAAAAAGTACTAATTCCAGTGGCGTACTAAGATATTTGCACTAGAAACTTGGCCAAAAATACTTGGTAAGATTTCATGTTTTTACAGCGTCCTGATCTGCAGTGGAGATAAGGTGCTGCCTCATAAACCGTGGTCTCCGACAGAACAGAGGTCTCTTTGTGAGCCCTGAAGCTTCAGGGATGTAGAGTTACCTTGTGGCAGTGAGGCATAATTGCGGTGATGGTTGATTGCAACAATCCATGCTTGTTGAAGTCATCTTTCTACGCTAGTGGAACCGAACCAGCATCTTGCATAAATCGATCGCTTTTTCCCAAACGAAGCATAAACCTCTGCTGTAACATTCAGGAGATGACATCTTCTGTTCCTTTTCCACATGTTCTTCCATGACCTGGAGTTGCTGCATCCTGAGAGCGCTGTTAGATCGACTTCACGTCGTACCTAACAATCAGCTTTTGTTACTTTTTACCTGAATGTGTGACTCAGAGAAGAGCCGCCGTCGGAAGGACCGGTGGACTGATGACACATCCTGTCCGTTCCTGTTCCGGCTGTGAAGAAGGAACCCTAAAACACTTGGAGCCTTCTTCTGGTACAAATCTCTCCTCCTACTCACTGTCTGCTTCAGTTTCTCCATTCATATTAAAGACTGTTTGTGTTTGTGCACAACTCATCGTCACCAGTTCCATTTCCATTACAAATGTGTGCAAAACTTTGTGAATATTCCACTAAAGATGGAAAAAAAAAAGAATCGCAATTTTGTAATTGAAGTGTTTCCATATAAGCAATGAAATTAAAGTCACAGGAAAAATTTTGTTCATGCGATAAAACGTTAAAAAATAACATGTCGCATCATCATCCTCCAACTACTTCCTGTCGTCTTCCTTGTCTTTTCTGCCAGTGGTAACATCCGGTTGTTGTTCACATGACATGTGATGCAAAGAAAGTGTTTTTATTGCAGTTTTGCGAAATACACTAATTTAGATACGGCCAAAAAACCCACATAATGTTAATGCAAAAACTTTTTGCGCTAGCATTAATTACTCTCACTTAATGGACTCTATCGAAAGCTCATTAAGCGAATGTACTTTCGTAATTCCAAATTGTGCAACATTGTATGGTCACTAGAAACACAGCTACCGTGATCATTATTTCATCTCTATGAGTAGCTGGAGATGAAAGTTGAGCATATAATTGCTCATTTGACATTTTGATAATAATTGTGCCCAATGGAAACAACAATTTTGAGAAAACTCATTTTTTTAATAAAAAGATTTGACGCTAGGATGAGATGGTTTTCGGTTGTATACTGGTAAACTGGTTTATTTTGCAGAAATGCCACAAATCACATGATCAACAACCAGATGTTACTGATGGGGCAAACCACAAAGAAGAACACAGGACGTAGCTGTAGGACAATGGTGCTGCATGTTTATTAATGACATATTGCGTGATTCTAATTGCGTTTCTTATTCAACGTAAACACTGCAATTGCAAAGTTGTGTTTTTTTTTTTTTTACAGGAGTGGAATGATAAAGTTTTGTGCACATTTTTAATGGAAACGCAGCTAGTGTTTTCACTGTGTTCTTTCCATTACATCCATTAGTGAGGTGTCATTTATGATGATGACCATTTCTGATGTTACATTTATCTTTAACTGCTTCTGATATCATGTTGCCTTGTCAGCCTCTTTCACTTTGTTTTCTTCAGACTGAGTAAGAGGTAAATGAAGCAGAAAGTTTCTCTGAATGTACATCAGTGGCTCCATCGAACAACAACAGATGTATTTTAGTAGCAGACAGGATGATGGATCTGTCCCAGTGGTGTGTGTGGACACAGAGTTTTATAATGTTAGATTAGTTCCAGTCTTTTCTGTCTTTTAAACACCTGACAGTACGCTGCTGTTGACTTGATGGATCACAGTTGATTTGTTTCACTTTGAATGCTTTCCATAAACCAGGTCTGTGTGAAGCTGTTCTTTTCTCAGTCGGTTCTGTGGTTTGGGTCTGAGACAGGAAGTGCTGGTTGGCAGTGTAGTGGTCACTTCCTGTGTATGGGACGTTTTGCGAGCCCGGGCTCCTCCAATTACTCTGAAGCTTGTTTCAGTCGTCCTGTGCAGCGTCAAACTGGGCCTCAGGACCTCTGGGCTGGTCCACCACCAGCCACAACAGAACCTTGTGGTCCACGGTGAGACACTGCCAGGTCCAGTCCACATAACTGCTGCCTGTAACAGTTAAGGACAGTCCGGCCAAAACAAATCAGAGCAGAGCTGCTAAAAATGAGTTTCTCTTTTGATCTCTGTATGTCCACACATCTGTCCTCATCATCCAGTCTCCTCACAGTCTTTTCCTGCCTTCTCCTCTTCTTCCTCCATCTTTCTTCCATGCTTTCCCATCCAAAGGTTTTTATAGTCGGTGTTTGTTTAGCTCTTGTTTGGCTCTTCTGCAGCTCTTGCTGTGATTTTCTCTGAGTCACAAAAGTTTACTCTTATTTGCTAACAGCTTTGGCTTGGTTGGTCTGGGAGTTGCTCAGTGTTCGTCTCGCAGGGCATCTGAGGGAAGTTTCTTTGTCTCGGCAGGCGAGTGGTCAGCGCATCGCTGCTCCTCTATCTTGGCTGCCATCCGGAGCCCTTGGTCTCTCTGCAGTCGGTGCTGTTTTGGGTCAACTACAATCACTAATGATGGATCTGTCCATCATTAGATCTGTCCAAAATGACTGTTGTTCCTGGCTATGGTCACTACACCATTTTCTGCTACTGTTTGCATGGTGTCCCATGGCAGACTGGGTGACCTCAATCCTTGCACGCTCACAAACAAAGGGCAACCAGCCCTCGCTCCAGTCCCTGTCAAGTCTTTCTCTGATAGGCTTCGATGTCGTCAGCCTTCTTTGTTTAGGGACGAGGATCACCACACAGTAGAGGAGGTTGTAGCCATTAGGGAAGGGTAGTAGACTGATATTTGATTTAGAATTTTATTTTGGTTCTGAAATCATTGATTATTAAATGTATAAAGTTGTTTAACCCTGCTAAAAAGCTTGTTTAATAAAGATGAATTAAAATTCTAATATGAGCGTGGACAATCAAATTAATTGAGTCAACTTTTAAGCAGAGTTCTTCTAATGATTGTAAAATCCGTGATACATAATTCTAGAGATTTGGGGTTTGTCAAAAGTTACCTTAGTTGATTTTAAGCAACACCATTGAAGCTTATGTGGAGCTACTAAAATTAATCTAGTCTAACACAAGTGCTCATTGTTAATTAGAGAGAGCTGCTGTGGTTTTTGCAGGTAGGCGGCTGCAGGGCGACTCAGCTGATTGCTTCACTAACTGGAAAAGGGTGTGGCACTTGGATGTAGGCAATTAGTGGCTGGATGAGTCTCTCTTGACATCAGCTTAAACAGATTATCCAATTAAACCGTAAAACTCAAAGGGTTTAGGGGTTTTATGGACCTGTTAGATGGAGAGTTGGTCACTAGTCAGCCCAGGAGTGTAAAGGGAATGGTTGGGGCTGGATATTGTGCAACAACACTATCAGTAAGCAATGACCTCTTTCATCCTTCAGGAACAAAAACAGTTACATAAATGAAGCTTCATTTGCAGCAAATCACCTCCCATGTTCAGATTCTTTTACCTCTGATTCACCAATTTACCAACAGAATTACAAACAAAACGTCTACAGCTTGTAATGCTACTCCTGACTCTAGTCTGTGTATTTTCTCTATTCCTGAAAGAATATCAATCACTATTTTCATTTTCTATTACATACATTTACCTATTTTGTCTCATTTCTGCAGCCACGAGGTTCATATTGTCAGAGACGACTGAAGGAGAAAACTCCACATCATTTCTCAATGATCTCTTTGAAGAAAACGTTTGTTCAGGATCCAGGGTTGTAACGTGGCGGTGTGAGCATGTAAAAGAGTCTGACTTATGGTCTGCCTCAGAACGGTTCAGTCAGAACTCTGATGGTGGGTCTTGAGGAAACCAGACGGGTTTCATTTGATGCCCAGATTGTTATGGATGGCCACAGAGCAAGGCAGCATGAACATAGATAATGATGGGCCGGGCCTGTTCACATTCAGGCTGTGATTCTCTCTGGCCCCAAAGAAAACACGGCGTGGTTCAGGGCTCATGGTGAGACTAATGAAGGTTGGGTTATGTTTCTGAGATGTTCGGCCAGACATGAGGGTGGAGCTCCTGGGTTCAATCTGGCTTCCTGACCACGCCTGATTATTAGGAGATGTTCTTTGAAGAGGAGTCCGAGTTCTTCTGTCGGACCTTCTCAGACCAGATACTTTACTTCAGTAACTCAAGTTACCAAGCAAGAAACTCAGCCTCCCAAAAATTACCGTCTGTGGTTGCAATTATGAATATTAAACATTTTGTGCTTTTCAACAAAACTGGCCTCTGTTTGCTCTTTACATTCTTATGTTCCTTTAGCTCATTTGAAGCAAAGTTGAAGATGCTTCTGATTGAGACAGACGGAGCTGTTTCCTTTGCTTCTAACCTGGTACTGAGATGTAAAACAGATGTCTGCAAATCTACCCAATGTTCAGACCTCCAGACTGTAAAGTACACACCAGTCCAACCATCTCAGTTTACAGCAGAGAGCAGCAGTCACTCAGAAACACCATTCAGGAGAACCTGGCTAATGTCAGCAACGCACCCTTAAATAAAACCTTAACTGTCCTTCTTCTCTTACGCTCTGCCACCAAGCCTCCACAGGTTCCAGCTGTTATTCGTCAAGGCAGCAACTGGGATAGTTTGCAAAACTGAACGGTGCAGAGAAAACACACACATCCTGTTAATCTGACAGATTTCCCATCATGGAAACACTCAGGCCTCACCTGGTTCAGAAAGGCTCCTCAGGTTCTGCTGCTTCTGTCTGGAGGCCAAGAACCAGAGGAGGTGATGGAAATGGAGAGAGGACAGCATTCAGTCCCTGATGAGGACGTGTCTCTGGTCTCTATCAGAGCTTTGGGATCAGATGATTTCATCCAGATGAATCATTTCTCCTTGTTCTCCAGACTTTTCATCAGTTCAGGAACAGAACCGACAGGAAATGGGAGCTCTGCTGTGGAGAGCTAACTAGCATAACTAAACCAACACTAGCTAAATTAGCTAGTAGATCTGATCAATATAGCCCCTCTTGATGAAAGCAGGTCGCTGAGGGAAACTTTTTATAAATTTCGCCTCACTCATTGTTCTACTGCCAAGTTCTCACTCCAGAAAAATCCAGAGGAAATCTAAAGCAGTGTTCAGTTTCCACCTGCCTCAGGTGGAACTCTTTCCTCTGACCAAGTTTCTGTCAGCAGCCTTTATGCGGCCTCTGAGATCCCTTATTTTGTGGCCAGTCAGCTTGCCATAAATCCCTCTCCTGTTAGCTGCTAATAAGCTTGGCTCCTGCTTCGTTCTTCCTCTGCATCATTGATGTGGCCTCTACAGTTTGTTCTGCACAAAGTGCTGCAGACCTTTAATGATGGCTCACCTTGCTGCTGGGGATTCATGGACCCAAGTGGAAAGTTGAGACAGTTTTCAGTGAATGAGCTCATTTCCAGTCTGTGGCTGTTGGGTACCAGGGAGACTGACTGGTGATCCAGCTCCTGTTCACCCTCCTACTTGCATTGTTCTCCTGGAAGTGAAGCACAGAACTTCCTTAGGGGAACTATTATTGAGTTATTATGAGTTTATCCCAGAAAATCACAGAAAAATAGATAAAGTCTCCTCTGATGTGGCTAAAACTCAGCTCATTAACCACCATGAGTGAAGCAACAACCACTGTTAGCTCAATCTATTGTCACTTCTCAGTGCAACGCTGGTAAAAACATTGCTAAAAGATTAAGAGGGGAGTCATGTTTTGATGACTTCCTGAAGGCGGAGTTTCATAAAGAGTAGGAGTTTCTTAAAGAGACAGAGACGACAAAGTAATTTAAGTCATATTTGATCTATATTGCATTTTTGTAACAACTTAAATTAATCAAGTTACTCTATGTGCTACAAAATGGCATCATGTGCCTGGGAAGTACATTATACTGGGAAGTAAAATCCTGTTGGAACTAAAAGCTAAACTAAAACCTGATTCAATGTCGATGTGTTCTGATCCAACTGAAGGTGGGCTCACCTGACGCTTTCATACCTTTCCGACTCATTCATCAGCGCCATCTGCAGGATGTCTTTCGCACATTGTCCAGAACCTGTTGCTGTTAAGCCAGAATCCTTTAACTGTATCTACTGTGACAGAATAAAGCCCAAATCCCAGCTTTTCCTCTCATCCTGTTTGAGTAAACGGATCATCTCTCAGCTTTTCCTTCTGCAGCCCTGCAGGTCTGTCTGTGATCGACCACTTCCTGTCTCCTGAACTGAATCCGTTCTACTAGGCAGTGGCGCCTTGATGCGGTGTTCTGAATCTGACCCAGGTGGATCAGCAGACAGAAGATACTGATACCTCTGGTGGGTAGAGGTAGAAACTGGAGCAGGAGAAAGATCATCCACTGGGCTGACTGGAATTTTTCTGTGAACATTAAGTAGAGAGTTTGATCCTCTCTGGATCAGAGTTTGAGGCGCTGCTCCTTTTCCTCAACTGTCCCTCCATTTTGGTGATGGAAGCTCAGTGGGTTTGTTCTTCTTCCTTCTTTCTGTCTTCTGACAAACACAAAGATGGATGTTCAGCTTCTGTTCCTTGTTGGAACGTAGTCCACTGCGTCCCTCCCCAGTGTTCCAGTTTTTTTTTTTTTTTTTTTTTTTTTTCAGACCACGGGTTGTTTTTGGAACTATTCTGTTTGTTTAGTTTTTATTCCACAGGACAGATTTTTAATCAACAAGCAGCAGCGCTGCCTCACTGTGTGGACAGAAAGTTCAAAAGCCATAAATGCGTCATGGACAGAAGCTTGGAAAGCCTCCTGAATAGCAAATAAAAGCAGAAATTCCTCAGTAAGTGGAGGTGGAGGAGCAGCAAGTAGCTCAACAGATGTTCCTGGGACTGTGGTATGTTGGAGCGATGAACACACTGGCAGCCTCACTCACTCCTTTCACCAGGTTTCCTCCAGAGACAGTGATGAGGACTGATGAAGGAAGCGGAGCCGCTCCTGCAGCAGAAGAAGAGACGGAGGAGTCAGAATGCTTTGAGTTTTTAGACATTAAGTTTTATTGTTTTTCTACGTGAGCAGCAGCGTTTCCATGCTGCTGATTGAAACGGTCAGCATTCCTCTACTGCTGGTGTTTTTAGATGATTTCCAGCTTCCTGCTCAGCTTTGTCCCGTAAACTGAAGTCTCAAAGTTTAAAGCTGTGCTGACCCATCTGGAAGTCGATCTTAGAGTCCTGAACTTCTAAAAACATAATTTTGATTTTCGTGCAGACAAACACAGGACTTAACAAAAGTTCACATGTGAAACGCACATGTAGACATGTAATACATGTGGATGTGGAATTATTCATGGTTATAAAATTCAATATATTATTTTTACATGTGAATCACAAGAGTGAAATGTCCCATATCCCCATGTGTAAATGTGCATTTTGTCTTGTAGTTTATGGGTTTTCGCATGACAAATTCCTAGGATTTTTCTGGAATGGAGCTGCTGGCCTCGTCTCTCTGAGTTTTCTCTCTCCTGGATCCTGGAAGCCAGAGGCTCTGGGTCCAACTCTGTCAGAACCCGACCCAGCTTGCTGCCGCCGTTCTGGACCGAGCGGTGGCTCCGGGAGAGCCTGCTGGGAGTAAACTGCTCCCAGTCTGTTCTCTGATTGGATCTGACAGCAGCCTGCAGGCTGTCAACACAGTCTCCCCCACACACACACATACATCCCACCCAGCTGCTTCTGAATCACAAATGGCAGAGCTGCATTGTGTGTGTGTGTGTGTGTGTTTTCTTCTCTGCTCTTTGGCCTAAAGTGTTTGAGTGGAAATGAGAAAATGTTAACACCTCTAACTCACAATGTCAGTTATGCCTGTCACAATAAACAATAAATCAATTAATCGCATGGTAAATGAAAAGAAACAGTCATTTTCATTTGCTTGATTTATCGTTTTAATCTTTTTTCGCTCCTTTTTTTTGTACCAAAAACTGCATGATAAAAGTCTTCAACCTGGTGTTTTGGTCTGAAGTATTCCTCTTATTTATATAATTTTATTTACAGAGAATCCATAATTAATTTTATTTGTTGTTTCTCTGTTCCAGTGTTTAAATGTTCACTGGAATTTATAGTTTACTGACCTGGACCACTTTAGCCTTTTGCTTTGCCACACTGTTCATACATGTCATAGCTTTTGCTAACTAGATAGCGCCAGAGCATCATCATCTCTTCTCTCAGTCAGGAGTTCAGACTGTTGGAAACATCCCTGCCTCCCATCAGCCTCAATCTTCCCTCCCCAACATGTTACAGACGGTTACCATGGTGCTTCCTTGTCTCTCTGGGGTTACTGGATATCAGGCTGGAGCCCAGAGAGCATCCCTGGGCCCGCCACAGACCCGAGTCTCCTGTCGGCTCAAACACGGTGTGTGTGTGTGTGTTTATTTATTTATTTTTAACGTATTGTTTTTCAGCCGTCACGCCGCTTCGAATGAGCTCTGCTGAAAGAGAACGCAGAGAGATCCACGGTTTGATTCATCTCAGGCTCTGGTTTCAGCTAACAGGGGGCTGAATTTACTGGCTAACACAAAGCAACACTTCAACCCGGCCTGGTTCTAGTTGGCATTGTCTGCAGCGACCAGCAGGGGGCTCCACTGATCAAAACACCTGGAACATGATCGGCACTGATCTATGGGAGAGGAAGTGATGTTGGTGACAAACTCCGGTCAGTGTTTGACAGCTTCTCGAAAACGCTCATGCTTCACTGTGGAGGAACCAAAAACATCAGTCCAACAGAACCAATATGAGTCGACCCAATGATTGGCTGACTCCTCTGAGCCAATCAGAATGAAGAACCAAGACTGGCTGTTTCCCTTGAAGATGACTGATCCTCAGGCTACTGCCAAAAGTGAGTCAAATGAACAGAAGTATCATGTATTTGTCAATAAAATCAGAGACGCAAGGCTGCTTTTCAGCTATATAAAGTTTTTAATTTTATTAAAAGGTTATTAAACATAAAGTTAGCTTGGTGTATTTGGTGACTACATAACAGAAGTGAAGCCTGAGCTGCTGAGAGTAAGGGGTAGCATGTGTCGTGCATCTGTCCACACACTGAGATGTCGGACAAGGTGCTCCAATGAGAGGCTGATAGACCAGATTTGAGCTTGTTTTTACCATCTCCATTGTTTAATATTCCTTTCTCTTCAGCTTGTTCCCTCTTCCTAGCATCAGTTTGTCGAAGCAGGACTGACTCAGACCTCTGCTGCTATTTATTAGTCCAGTATTTTCCCATCAGGGAACGGAAACTGGTGGAAATAATTAAGATGTTTCACCTCATGATATAACGGCACATGTTCCTGTGTCCGGGTAAAATGTGAATCTTCTGTCCTCCTGGTTGATGACATCAGACAGTGAGATGATCCACAGGTCTCTTGGTGCATCTGGTGAGAACTCTTATCATCTAAATGTCAAAGAGAAACTTTTGTTTTTTGTAGTATTTCCATTGATTTTTGAAAGTCGTTCTACAACTGATTGTGTGAACTTTTTGTTAAAGACCAAATGTGAATTCTTCTCCTGCCCTGCAATGAACAGATCTGCTGCATCTTGCACCAACGTAAAAGCACTTATGAAAAAAAACAAAAAAAAAAACAGAGAAACGTCATGTACAACAAACTATTTATGTGTGATTTTAACTAAGTTTCTTATTTAACGGAAGTGCAGCAATTATGAAATAGTTTTTTTGCTAGTATTGACTAATTTTATTGGCCAAGTTTGGCAAACATTTGTATTGGAAATGCAGCTACTGTTTTTTCATTCCTCCACGTCTCAAACAGCTTCAGGCCTTTTCTCTTGTTTTTCTTCTTGGCTGCAGCCGCTGACCTCATTAACCAGACGCAGACGGCTCCAAAATAAATGTCCACTCCTTTTATTTTTTAATCCTGGACTGGAGGCCGTCCGTCAAATCCTCCAGGTGTCTCAGCCAGACAGAGCTGGCTTCACCCTGGAGGATCAGGCTTCTCACCACGTTGTCCTCAGGATTATTTGGCTCTTGCCAGAAACAACACTTCACTCTGAAGTTCCGTCCCAGCAGATCAGACACACACACACACAACACACACCGAATAGTCGGTCAGTGTGTGTGTCAGACTGCAGGGGTGTGAACAGATCAGTCGTCTCCAAAGATTCAGGCTCAGAAGTTTTTTCTAATTCTGTGCTGCTGATGATTAATTTCCTTTTACTCCCAAAGAAACCAGGAATACTTCAGCACTAAAGACCTTGAGAGTAAAAATAGTGATGACATATATCATGTCAACAAAACCCTGATATTGCATCATCAGTAGACGGATATCAGGGATGAACTTCCACAGCCACTCGACAGCAGACACGCCGTCAGCATCGATCCTGACTTGCTGCACAGAGATCCATAGTGATCTGCTTTGCTGCTGCACCACCAAGAAGGAATCCTGTGTCAGACATCTTACTGTCGTTCCTTTAATTCAGCTTCCAGTGGGGGAAAGGTCAATCCAACCCAACACAGAGTTTGCAGACATCAGTCAGGAAGCGAATCAGCTGGGATTGATGAGGTGAAGTAGGAGATGAGACTGAGGATTGGTTGAGATCACACACATGCACACACACACACGGGCAGTCCTTCACATTAATGTGGAAGATTCTCCTTTTTCTTTCAAAGCTTGTCAGACTCAGATTGGGAGTTTATAAATGTGTCTGGTTCATTTTCCTCTTTCCCGTGAGACTGATATCTAAACATTAATTTCTGCCATCTTATTTCAACCATAAACGTTAAGTCTAAACCTTTACCTCAGGAGGAGGAAATGGGACAAGAATGAAATGCTGTACTCTTCCTGGTGACAAAGTAAAAATAGCTGCATTTTTATTACAAATATGCATAAAACTTTGTCGAAATTCCATTAATGTAAACAAACAAAACAACAAAACACTCACCAGTTCCCACTTGTCAAACCTTGTGATCCCGTGAAGGTTTTAATCCACAATGATGCATCTAAAGGTTGAGACATGGACATTTCTAAATGTCCATAATGCTGTGTATTTTTACAAATTACTATTCCCTCCAGCAGTCGAACTTTCAAACGGCTAGAAGCCTACCTGCAGCATCGTCGGACAGCATCTCCTACCAAAGCTGGTGAGCAGCAGCCATATGAGCAGCAGCTGTCTCTTAAGACTCTGGCGTGCGGCTGGTCATGTGACCCTAAAACCACGTGATGACTGACACACTGAATGGTGTTCTTGTTTGGTTTAGTTTTGTGCTTAAGAAATTAAGGAAAGGAGGATTTTATTTTAAAATAAATCTTTAAATTAATACAAATAAATAAAAGTGACAAAGAGAAATGGGGGGGAAAAAAAAAATACCCTGGTTGCACTAATCCACAAACTCTGAGGCGTAACAACGCCCACTGACTCGTATCAGCCCAGCAGGAATGCTTCCCTCTAGAGACCTGAGTGTGTGAAACATTTGGACCTGTGTTCTGCTCCGTGTCGGTGATCAGCAGCCAGGACACGCTCCATGTGCTCCCCATTAGCATCCAGCTGCTACAACTTCCAAGAAGGTTTTGACAGGGAATCGGTTGTGGCTCTGTTCCAAGTTGTTAAGAGGGGAGGCGGACGGCAGATCCAGGTAAAACAGAGTTCTCGAAAATGACTCCCCCAAAATGAATTCTATATACCTCAGGATCTACAAGGTGTATTTGACTTGGTTATAAAGGTAATAATCCAGAGACTACTCTAGAGGTCTAACAATCAACAATTGCATTACTGAGTAAGAGCAAATACATATGGAACTTAGTGAAAAAATAAAAATATTAAATTCTAATGGAACACAAAGCATGCGGCTGAAACCCAGAACCTCTAGCAAACCACAGTACAGGTCTTGACCACTTACTGTACCAAATTTCATTCCAAAAAAATTAAGTACAGACATTTTGGAAAGGTATTGGTTGATAAAATTCCAGGTGAACATGCCAAATGCACCCTTTTTGGCAGTATGTGTGCAATTACAAA